CTCCGAAAAATTGAAAATATGAAAAATCTGAAACAGATAATTCGAAAAATTGAAAGATCGAGAAATCGAAACATCAAAAAAAACTTTATTTGACAAATCGAAGAGCAAATTAAAAAAGCAACCATTTAGAACTATTGTTCGAAGGTTCTTCTTTCCTAACAGGGTGTTTGATGAATGGAATAAGTTGCATAGCGAAATCGTAAGTGTGACAATTATTAGTATGTTTAAGAACAAATTGGAACAGTAACTTTAATTAGGGAAATCAATTTGAAGGAGCATAATAGGTCTCTCATCTCTGCTCCATTTTTTCTAATAATAATAACAATAATTGAAAAATCAAAAAATCGAAAAATCTAAAATTTAAAAAGTCGAAAAATGGAAGAATAGGAAACTTGAAAAATCGAGAAATTGAAACATAGAAAAATAAAAAAAATCAAAAATTCAAAAATCGAAAAGGAAAAAATTGAGAAATCGGAAAATGGAAATAAAGTGTTGAAAAATCCCAAAAATCAAATACTGAAAAATTGATATATCGAAAAATTAGAAAACTGAGAAATTGAAAAGTCGAAAAGTTGAAAATTTTAAAAATCGAAAAATTGAAAGATCAAAAAATCGAATAAGTAATTGAAAAACTGAAAAATCGAGACGTTCAACAATTGAAACGTCGAAAAGTCGAGAAATAGAGAAATGGCAAAATCAAAGAATCGGAAAATTTCAAAGCCAAAAAGTGAAAAAACGAAAAAATCGAAAAGTCAAAAAATCGATTAAACGAGAAATGCAAAATTTAGAAACGCCAAAAATTGAAGAATCGAAATATCGAAAAATTGAACAATCGTAAAACGGAAATATCGGAAAATTGAGAAATTGAAAAATAAAATCTCGAAAAATTGAAAATAAAAAAAAACGACATTGGTAAATTGAAAATTTAAAATCGTGAAATTGAAAATGAGAAAATTGAATATTAAGAATCAAATAACTGAAGAATCCTAAAACTGCAATTCGAAAAATTGAGAAATCGAAAAATAGAAATGATAATTCGCAAAATTTAAGAATCGAAGTGTTGAAAAATCCCAAAACTGAAATATTGAAAAATTGATAGGTAAATCGAAAAATCAAAAACTGGAAAAATTGGTCTAAAGAGTTTAGACAGTAATTCCCTCGCTGTCGGAAACGTGACGACTGCATGCCTATTATGTTTTTTTTTTCGCAGTAGATTTCAAAGCATTCGGTATTGTAGTTCCTGAGTAAATCAGTAGAATAAATTTACGCATTCATTAATTTTTTTGAGTCACCCTGTATATGCAAATCCAAAAAATATGAATGGAGTGATAAATCACAAGTACAGACTCATCACATTTTGTACATTTTAGATAGGATTTATTCGGCAAACTTTTGAGCTGACGTCATCAAGTTTTTGGAGGGGATAACCAAATATATTTTGAGTAAAGATTTATGATGCTCTTTATAGCCTTAAAACATCTGCAACATTTCAAAACATTCGGGTTAGCAGATTCAAAATTAAATTGCAAAATGTTGTTTTATAATTTTGATTTTTTTTTCAAAAATCTCGACGTTTCGGGTAAAAACTTAATTCGGAGTCGTAAACTACATGTGTAGGACTATGTTATTTTATACAATTTAAAACCCATTTACTATGTACAATTTTGAAGTGACGTCATCGCATTAGTGGTGGGGATGATTAGCCTTTTACCATCTACATGATATTCCTAATATAAGTACAAAATTTCACAACAATCGGTCCAGTACTTTCGGAGATTATCTGTCTAATAAAAATCCGGGACGGCAGACAGACGGACAGACGGACAGACGGACAGACAGACGGAAATGGGAGACCTATTTCTTCGTCTTCTAGGGGTCATGAAAGATCGAGAAAACGTAAAAGTAGAGAGTCGGCCGACGGACTCGATTACAATACTTCCTTTGCTTACGCTCGGGAAGTAAAATTCGAAAATTATAAAAATCGAAAAATTGAAATATCAAAAAATACAAAAATCGAATAATTGAAAATCTGAAAAATCGATAAACCATGACTTCGAGCAATTGAAACAGAGAAAAATCGAGAAATGGAGAAATGGGAAAATCAAAGAATCGAAGGATTTAAAAGCCGAAAAGCCAAAATACCACGAAATCGAAAAGTCCAATAATAATCGATTAATCGAGAAATAGAAAATTTAGAAACACCAAAAATTGAACAATTGAAAAATCGTAAAACAGAAATATCGTAAAGTTGAGAAATTGAAAAATAAAACCTGGAGAAATTGAAAATAAAAAAAAATGCGAAATTGAAGAATCGAAAAATGAAGTAATCGAAAAATTGAAAATAGAGAAATTGAATATAAAGAACCAAATAACTAACAAATCCTAAAACTGGAATTCGAAAAATGGAAATAAAAATTTGCAAAAATTTAAGAATCGAAGTGTTGAAAAATTCCAAAACAGAGATATTAAAAAATTGAAAATAGAGAAATTGAATATAAAGAATCAAATAACTAAAAAGTCCTAAAACTCAAATTAAAAAATTGAGAAATCAAAAAATTGAAATGAAAATTCGCAAAATTTAAGTTTTGAAAAATTCCAAAACAGAAATATTAAAAAACTGATCTATCGAAAATCGAAAAATCGAAAAGCTGAAAAATCGAAGAAAAAAAAATAGAAAATCGAGAAATCGAAAATAGAAATATTAATAAATCGAAAAATCGAATAACTGAAAAACTCAAAAATCGAGAAATCGAAACGTCCAGCAATTGAAACATCCAAAAGTCGAGAAATTGAGGAATGGGAAAATCAAAGAATCGAAAAATGTCAAAGCCGAAAAGTCAAAAAACCAAGAAATCGAAAAGTCAAAAAATCGATTAATCAAGAAATAGAAAATATGGAAAAACCAATAATTGAAAATTAAAAAAGACATCGCGACATTGAAGAATCGAAAAATGAAGTAGGTAATCGAAAAATTGAAAATGGAGAAATTGAGAGATTGAAAAATCAAAAAATGAAAATAAAGAATCAACTGAAAAATCCTAAAACTGAAATTCGAAAAATTGAGAAATCAGAAGTTGAAAAATCAAGAAATCGAACAATCAAAAAGCCGAAAAATCGAAATTTTAAAAAATTGTTATACAATTTTGATTCTTCTCCCAAAAATCTCGATGTCTAGGACACAAATTCAACATGAATTTATAAACCAGGACTTCAAGACTGTTACTTTTTAACATTTACTTAACATTTATTCTACAAAGTTTTATCAATTCCTGAGTGGAAGCATAAACATTTTGATCAACGATTTATTCTAATAACCTTAAAACATTTGCAAGATTTCAAAGCATTCGATTTTGCAATTTCAAAGTTACAAAAATTATAAAATGTTTTTAAATAATTTTGATTTTTCTTTCAAAAATATGGACGTCTAGGGTAAAAACTCAACACGGATTCATAAACTACAAGTGTAGGAGTACGTTATTTTATAAAATTTAAATAACTTTTACCATCACAAAATTTTGAAATGACGCCATTCTATTGTTTCTGCGTGTGATCACTAAACATACAAAATTTGTCAACAATCGGTCCAGTAATTTGGGGTATTATCTGTCTAATAAAAATCTACACAGACGGTGGACAAACAAACCTAATTTTTCGTACTGTACGAGTCATGAAACGTCCAGAAAACATAAAAGTAGCCAGTCGCCCGATGAACACGACTACAATGCTTCCTTAGCTTACGCTCGGGAAGTAAAAATCTCATGAACATGGTTTTATACGTAGTGAAAACATTTACATGCCTTGTCAGCTTTAACAATACACAGCTGTATACAGGCTGTCCCAATAATGGAGAGGAGGAATATAATGTTTTTAATTACCTCCACTTGACAGGCTAAACACTGTTTCAACTTATAAATAAATTTAAATTAAATCTGCAAATTATTAGTTTTCTCAAATTTGCTAAATGGAACACATGGATGTTTTTTTTGACACAAAGTTTTGTTGCTTTATCCTAATCGGTTTCTTGAAATTATTATTCAAATACCCCCAATAAATCTGATCTTTACTCAGAAACAAGTTCTCAAATGTTATAAAATACAGCTCCATTTGACGGATTCAATATATTTGTGCAAAATTCTCAATCTTTAAAAATCATGCACGAAATTTTTTAATATGACTCTCTTGTTGATGAAACAAGGCTGAAATCGTTTTCTTTTCATAAAGAACCTAAGCCTATAAAAATATAAAAGCTTCTAAAATACCTTTGTTACACTGACCTTATAATAACAAAAAACATTAAAAATACGCGGTTTTATCAGTAATAACAGTTTGATGACAGTCCGGAAGTGTAGTAAATTTATTATCAGTTTATTAGTTTTCAAACAAGCATTAATTTAAATAAAACAGCGTAAACAAAGTTATATAAATTTATTTTATGTTCAAGGTTACGTCACCTCTAGACCGTTGGTTTGATTTAGATTTTACAGTTCTCCCTCACTATTCATTACTAAAAAGTGCCGAAAATATTGACGACTTGGTCAAAACATTAATCGACATTTGTTATTCCACGCACTAGTTAAGCCAGGACATTCAGTCAAATCGAAGTTTTATAATAAGATATTACGATGTTTATGAATGAATAGCTAGTTATTGACTAGCACAACGTAAAACACACAACTAAAATAGAAAAATACAAAGACCTCACATGATTATTATCGATTTGGTTTCCTGTCAGCGTACTTAATGCATCGTTGAATAGAAAACAATATTTTTCGTGGAATTTTATTTCATATCACTAAACGAAACTTTACCACAAACCACAAGTGATATTAAGCAAATGGCTAAAAACGCAGAATTTTGAAAACAGGAAAAATTAGACCATTATTCAGATTTGCGCAAAATATGCATAATTGTTTCAACTGCATAATGATATCAACCATTAGTAGATAATAATCGGTATGCAAACTCCATAAATCACACACTACATTCGACATTCAACTCACTTCAGGCGTCACGAAATAACTCGGACTTTTCTCGATCGTAATCTGGCCATAATACGAGTGCGGCATCTGCATCCTGTACCACTCCAAGCCCTTGTTATAATTCTCATCTCTGTCGAAGAAGTGCACCTCTCCGGAGGCCTTCTGCACCATGGGATGCAAATAGAGCATTTCCAAGAGCGCCCTCGTGCCGCACTTCCTCACGCCCATGATGATGGCTTGTGGTAGTCTGCGGGCCGCCGCCGGGTAGAGCCGCCTCGACAGCAGAAGAAGTGGCGGTCTGGTGTGGTCTTGAGTGGTGGTTTGGAGGCTGTTGAGGGCGCTGTCGTAGATCAAGTGAAATGTCAAGAAGAGAGAAATTAGCATGACGGTTAAGATGGCCAAGGCCATTTTCGGTCGGGAAACCCCCACGACGAGGACGCAGTCTGACGGATCGCCCTCCACGGACCTCATTGCTGCGCGAGGCAACCATCTGGAAAGGAAAAATTTATGGGGGTGAGAGATAAGGGAGCTGAGCGTTGCATCAACAATTGTATTTTTTATTTAAGGGCGGTGTGTCAAGGTAGCTTTTAAAAGCTCCGTGATGTGGGTTAAAGATGCTGGTGCGAGGTTATGTTAAGCGGACGAAGTATTAATTATAATAAGGATAGGGAGACGTGTTAAGTTTTATACGCTGATTTTTTATGCATCTAACTATTCAGAGAGGATGCCTTTCATTTTGCTTTCGGTTTAGGTGAAAACAAAGCATTCATTCAATAGGATGGTGTAAACTGAAGTTATAATTAGCATCATTTATTTGAAACTCTCTTGAGATAAAATGTAATAATAAAAACAGTAGGGGGAGCCGCAGGTAGACAACAGCTGTTGAAACATGTCGACAGTTTGATGAAATAGAATACTGGAAAGTGAAAAACTCGATTTCATTTTTTTAGACCTTTTTTCAATTCTGTTGTAACGCACTGTAAAGGAACATAACTAATTTTGGCATTTTCGGGTACTTTCAAAACTTATTAGACCCGATTTGTAGAAAGCGAATTAAAGTTAATTCGTTATTAACTTTTAATTGAGATCCGTTGCTAGGCAACGTGCATGTTTCAACGAGTCACGGGCTCATATTCTACAATTTAATTCTCTGTTAATTTAACCAACAATTAAATATTTAATTCGCTTATACAAGGTCGCTAGAATGTATGGAAACGGTTAAATATCTTGGGAACTAATTGTACAAATCACCTGAAATTAGGTATAGGGGTACAAAAAGTTGTGCTCTAATTACTAGTCAAACATTTTTGTTTGCTTCAATTGTTTTTGAGATGCAAGGACAACTTGATTTTTTAAATGGCACTACCATGTAAATTAATACTTATATTATTGAGTAGAGCTTTTTTTCTGAATTCATTAATATAGTACAATCATACTTTCTTTCTGACTGAAATGGCCAAATAAATTATTTTAGACAAGAATAAATAAAAAAAATCAAAGATAACATTCTTATCTTTGAAAATAATTTTAATTTGACATGTAAGGTGTTTCTTGCAAAATGTGCATCTAATTAGTGCAACTGAGCGCATAGAATTATTAATGATTATCGGTTACAGTGACAAAAGACCAAGTTTTGCTCAAGTAGTAACACTTTTTAATGAAATTCATCCTGAGCGAGAACCCATTTCTAAGTCGACGGTTTCAAAAACCCTACGAAGATTTAATCAAACTGGAAGTATTAAAGAACGTTCAAAACCTGGCAGACGAAAAACTTCTGCAAATGATGAAAATGCCCTTGTCCTCTTAGACGCAACAGAAAATCCCAAAAGTCAGTGCAACAATTAGCACCGAATCACAATGTTAGTAGAAAAACAATTCAAACAACAATAATGAAAAAGGAAAAGTTTCAGCCATACAAAATCCATTTGGTACAAGAGCTAAACGAAGATGATTTTGATCGTAGAGTTGAATTTACCGAAATTATTATGAGCAGAATACAACAAGACGAAAATTTTATCAACACTATTTTATTTTCTGACGAATCTACGTTTTGTTTAAATGGTCATGCAAACAGACACAACTGCAGGTACTAGTCTGACACAAATCTATATTGGATGGAGCAAATCCACACATAGCGTCCAGAAAAAATGAATGTTTGTTGAGGTATTATTGGTTACCATGTACTTAATTGTTCCTTCTTTTATTAATGGGAATTTAATTCTGAGGGATACTTAACGCTGTTGCTAAAATGTATAGTGCCTAGACTTAGAGAATTGTTTCCCAGTTACCAAAATTCGGAGTTACCATCAGAAAATATTTGTTTTCAACAAGACGGTGCTCCAGCCCATTTTGGACGTCAAGTGCGACAGTACTTAAATGAAACTTTTACTGGTAGATGGGACACCGTTTGACTTCTTTTGTGGGGCTATTTGAAGAATCGTGTTCATATCAATAGACCGATTCACATTGAAGACTTCTAGGAATGTATACGTAAAAAAATTGCTAGCATTCGTCCAGAAATTCTCATTAACTCACTACAAAATTTTATTCAGCGTCTTTTTTACTGCCAGGAAGTAAATGCCGGGCAATTTGAGGATCTTTTGTAGAAAACAGTTTAATTTTGGTTTGGTTTGGTTTTGGTTGTTAGTGGTTAATTTATTTATTGTTTAACATTAATAATTAAAATTAATAATTATTAATTTATTTAATTTTTGTTTAATAATTTATTTTTCCATTTCAGCTAAAAAGAAAGTATGATTGTGCTGTATCGATGAATTCAGAAAAAAGGATTTATTCAAAAATGCATTAATTATATGGTAGAGCCATTTAAAAAAAGTCAAATTGGCCTTGCATCGCGAAAACGAATGACGCAAATTAATTTTTTTGACGAATAATTAGAGCACAACTTTTTGTATGCCTATACTCAATTTCAGTCGATTTGTACAATTGGTTCTAAAGATATTTAACCGGTTCCATACATTCTAGCGACCCTGTATAAAAAAGTATTAAAATAAATTAAAATTTGGTTTTCTGAAAAAGTGTGAAAAGTAAATCAGTCAACCATTACAAACTGATATTGAAAAGTCTTTCAGAACTACAGTTGGATATTATCCGCAATTTTAAAGCGTGTTACATGTCAAAATAAAAAAAAAATGGTCGAAGATTATTTCGACAGAACTTCCCTCGCTCCAGGAATGCAATAAAACATATCCAGCTTTTTCGAAAAAACTACCTATAGAATTTGATTTTGCCAATTATATTTTTTTATGAGAGTATATCTTATTCTTCGGATTGAACCTCATGCGTAAGGTTAAAAAATATGGATACATTAATAAATCATAGATAAAGAAAGATGTCACAAAACAAAGTTCAAGCAAGATTTCCTTAGTAAAATTGTGAAATAACGCCATCAAATGTCAGACACTGTGAAGACGGTTATTATTTATATGCAACTGAAGTTAGTTGTAAATCTATTACCTATATTATCTGATGAATAAATACATCACTCAAATATGCGAATATCTGAACTAGTTTTAGGTTAAACTTTATTTGGTCAAATCTTGTAGCTGCTTAATAAAGATGATTTTCTTTACCATGCGTAGGAAATCTGTACGGAAGAAATTAAATTGTGTGATGACGTCATCAACATTATTTGCAAAGATATACGTATATCAATTTGGATAGGTGCAATGTAATACTAATACATAATAATAGTATTGCATTTCCAAATTTTCGGGAAAATGGAGTGAACCGTTCTTGATTTATTGAATAAAATATTATCTTTTTTATTTGATAAGGGATTGTTCTGGTGTTCCAATAAAACCCCTCCGTCATATTATAGATCTAATTATTCATTATACCTACTGGCCGGAAATGTGGAAAACTTCAAAAATTATACCAATGTACAAATGTTCTTTATTATGCAACTTCACAAAAGTCTTGGAATATATTATCTATCCATCAACTCTGTTTTTCAAGTCAAATGTAACTTGTCTCCCTTCCAACATGGATTTTCAGTTGGTAGATCTACAAACACGAATTTAGTTTGCATGTCCCAACATATCGCTAAAATACTGAATAACAAAGGTCAACTTGACGTCATATACACCGACCTTAACAAAGCATTTGATAAGGTAGACCGTCAAATTCTCCTCAATAAATTGTCTACGTTTGATTTGTCAAATTGTACATTAAACCGTCTCATTTCTTATCTGACTTTTCGCACCAACTTCGTGTATCACAAATACTACACCTCGACTTCCTACGTTGCAACGTCAGGTATTCCTCAAGGCTCCACACAAGGGCCACTTTTATTCATGTTATATATTAATGACGTCCTCAGCGTAGTTGAACATTCGCACATACTTATGTTTGCGGATGATGTAAAATTGTTTCGCAAAGTCTCCAATCCTCCTGATTGTATGCTTTTGCAAGTTGACGCTAATAATTTTTTTGATTGGTGTGGAATTAATCGTCTTGCGTTAAACAGTGACAAATGCAAGGTTGTGACGTATATTAATTGTAAAAATAATGTATGTTTTGATTATGCAATCAATATACTATAACTATCAATAGACTATAACAAGATATACGACTATTAGAGATTTGGGAGTACTGTATGATGCTCATTTTACACTTAATCAGCATATTAACTACTTAACTACAGTGTACAAAAATGGTGGGTTTCATACTAAGAAATTGCAAAGATTTCTGTAATGTGCAGTCCCTTACTCGTAGTACTCTTTATTGTGCGTTAGTACGTTCAAATGTAGTGTACTGTTGTATAGCATGGTACCCATATTATAATAAACAAGTTAACACACTAGAATACGTACTATCATAAAGAGACCGGACTCTGGCCGGAGAGAGGCATTCCGCAAAATCTATTACTGCAAAGGTTTAATTTTGATACATTAAATACTAGAAGAATAATGTTACTTCTAATATTCCTCTTTAAATTAACTAACTCCTCCATTGTACAGAATTAGGGGCCAATTCCAAGTTGGTGGCGCAAGTCACTGGTGCAGCGCAACTTTATAATGCTAATTTAGGTATCAAATGCTGGTTGCTAGGGGTGACGGAATAAACAAACGCACTTTTTCGAGATAAATTGCGCCAACTTGCACTGCCTACTAGAGGTGCCGCAACTCCATGGTGCAAATTTCAATGGAAAATTCGAAAAATTGCGCTTGTTTATTCCGTCACCCCTAGCAACCAGCATTTGATACCCAAATTAGCATTATAAAGTTGCGCTGCACCAGTGACTTGCGCCACCAACTTGGAATTGGCCCCTTACTATCTAAATTAAATTTCTAGGTGCCAAGAATAAATTCCAGATACGCCACTACCTTGTATTGTCCTACACCTCGTACAAACATTGCCTGAAAGGCTTCATTTTATTTATTTTCACAGTAGTATTATTTAAATAAACTGGAATCAATTCAATCATTTTAAGTTAAATTAAGGGGTGATTCAGATCCAGTTTTAGTT